TTTTTTTTTTTTTTTTCTTTAATATTTTTTACCTTTTTGTAAATTATTGATGTGAAAAATTTTTTATTCCTTTTTCTTATAACATTTTATATATTAATTGATAGTTTTGTTGTAATATAAATTCATACAAAACATGCTAAAACATTTGCAAAATTTTCTTTCTTTTCTTTTCTTTTCAATTGAATTAAATTTCAAAAATTTTTCGTTCAAAATTTCAATTTGTTAATTGATTTATGCAAGAAAATGAGCTAAAAATTTTTTGTGATTTTAATAAGTGAAAATTAAAAGTAAATTAAAATAATTTGTAATTTTTTTAACTTTTTTTTTTCTTTTTGTTCTATTATAATTATTTCTTAGAAAATCTAATAATATAAATTGTATAATTATTGCAATGAATATTTTTGAAATTTTATCGTTGGCAAATTTTTTTTTTTACTTATCATTAGCTAAATGATAAAAAAGAAAAAAGCATTACGAAATAGCCAATTGGAAATGAATGATGATCGATTGGTCAATAATGGCCAGTAATTGCTTCCATATGAGCCTAGCAGTATTTTTTGGCCTATTAGCATATCCTTCAAATTAGTAATTGATTCACTTCTCTAGCTAATACATTTTGCATTTTTCTTCCTTTAAATTAACAAAATCGTTTTTTTCTTCATTTTATTTTTTTTTTTTTTAATACTGTAATAGCTACAGTAAACTATTTCGATGAGCGGAAATGTCCTATCTCCTATTTAATGCTATATAATACAATAGCCATTTGTTGATGTCTTTTTTTTTTTTCTTTTTTCATCATTTTTATCAAAAGGTAAAATTTTATTTATTTAAGCTTTAAGCATTTAATTTATACATTAATGCTAAAAGGGGGAAAAAAAAGTTCGCATACATCAAAGAAATGCAAAAATTTTGTTTCACTTAAAAAAAAAAAAAACAAATAGCTAAATGAAATGACAATTTTTATTCGATCGATTAATTCTTTTCAATAAATTCTTCCTTAACATTTTATGCTTATACAAAAAAGAAACGTTTAGTTTGTAAAATAATAAAAACTTCAAAAAATTATTTATAAAATATATTATTAAAATTTTTTGAATAATTTTTAAAAACTCAACGACAACAAAAAGCAAAAAAAAAAAGAAAGAAATGACAAAAAAAGTTTGAAATTTTTAAGATAACTTTAAAATTGATTGAAATTAAATTTTACTTCAAAAATATTACTAGAATGTATTAATAAATTAATAATAATTTTTGAAAATTTAACAACAAAAAAATTTGAAATTTTTAAGATAACTTTAAAATTGATTGAAATTAAATTTTATTTTAAATATCCAAATGAATGTATTAAAATTGTTGAAATTAAATTTAAGAAAAAAAAAGCCTGTTCATATCTATTCATTTATTTTCATGGATAATTGTTTGTTTGTTTTAAAATTAACAAAAAAAAAAATTTACTTTTTTTTCTAGTATTGATAAAATTTTTTTAACATTTTACATTTTATTTCATTCATTTTATCTTTTATTTAACATTTTCTATAGGCATGATCATAGATCATATCAATTAATGTATACATTTATAAAAATGATTTATGATAAATCGATTTGTATTGTAATCATCCTTTCATTTCATCATTTCTTATGATATGCATATATCATTACAGTTTAGCAGTTAAATTTGATCATTACAGTAATCTGTAACATATTTATGGCTACAATTAAAATTTAATCATTTAATCATTTAATCATTTAGTCACTTTGTCATACTTAATTACTTAATCAACTATTTATAATCATTATTGACTTAATCAACTATTTATAATTGCTTAATCAACTATTTAATTACTTAATTACTTAATCAACTATTTATAATCATCATTGTATTATAATAATCCATATACAATAAGACACAAACAAGCGCATATATACGCACACACATACACACACACACACACACACACACACACACACACATTTAAATGTGTGTATTTTGAGAATATAAATCAATAATTCCAAACTACTTATTCTTACTTGAGAATGTAATCAATAATTTTAAATTAACCATTTTTAATTAAGGAATATGATCAATAATTTCAAATTAACCATTTTTAATTAAAGAATATAATCAATAATTTCAAATTAACCATTTTTAATTAAAGAATATAACTAATTTCAAATTAACCATTTTTAATTTGAGAATATAACCAATAATTTCGAACTACTTATCCACACTCGTGTAATCAATAATTCCAAATTAATTATTTTAATTTGATATACTATAATCAATAATTCCAAATTATTTATTTTAATTTGATATACTATAATCAATAATTCCAAATTATTTATTTTAATTTGATATACTATAATCAATAATTCCAAATTATTATTTAAATTTGATATACT